CGGTGCCCGGGGGAGCCAGCACTGCTCCCCAGCTGGGGTCACCCTTGGAGCCACCCTGGGGACCTCTACGTTCCTGGGGGACCTGGGGGGGGGCAGAGGTAGGCTGGGGGAGGTGAGGGGCTGAGCTGGGTGGCAGGCTCTGCCCCCAGCTGTGCCCAGAGTCAAACCAAAGGAAAAACCTGGCCGTGCTCAGCTCTGGCTTGGTCACCCCTGGCTCCAGGGGGGGAGTTTTTTTATACTTTATTTCAGTTGTGTCTCGTTTCCAGAGCCTGGCTCGCCCTTGTACCACTCGGCAATGCCAATTAAAAACGAGCTCCTGGCTGTGTTTTTTTCAGGGCAGTGTCACATCTGTGTCCCCGGAGTGGGGTGGGGGGGGCACCTGCCCCCATCCCGTGTCTCTAACCTGCCTCTGGGTGCTCCTGTGTGGGTCGTGCTGTGGGCTGCTCTGCCGTGCCCAGGCCCATGCGGTGCTCCAGCGCTTGCGCCCCTTTCCCTGCTGCACTGAGAGCAGTCACTGCTCGGTGCAGGAATGAGCGGGCTCCTCTGGGGCGTGGGAAAGCTTCTGGGGGGGGGTGCAGCATCACTCTGGGGGGGCCACGGGCACCCGGCTCCATGGGCTCCTTGGCTTTGTTGCGGTAGGCCTGGCGGATGACGTCCACGGCCCGCTGATGCGTGACGTTCTCCAGGCTCTCCCCGTCCACCGACACCAGCTCGTGCCCAGCCTGGCCCCAGGGGAGAATACAGCAGAGGATGAGACGGCCACTTTTAGGATGCTATGGGGCTGCCAGCACAGAGCAGCAGTGGGAGGTGGGGGAGAAGGGTAGGCCCGGATACCTGGGCCCTGCTGGAATCATCCCTCCCCAAAACACCCTCCCTGCTGCCCCACGTGCCTGTGCGATACAGGGAGAAAGGGGCGAGCACAAGGGGCCAAGTCTGCCCCCACACCGGGGGTGAGCTGCCCAGGTTCCCCTGAGGGGCAGGTGCCCCGTACCTTGAGGATGCCGCTGAGGAAGGCAGCTCCTCCGGGGAAGATCTTCTCGATCTCCATGGGCTGTGCCCGTGACTCGAGGCCGCCGGAGATGCTGATCCCTGCAAGAGAGCCGCAATGCCCCAGCCCCCGGCAGGCTCGGACCCCACACCCCTGGCTCACCCCCTCACCCCAACCCCCTGGGCAGCAGCACCTGTGCCTGAGCCCGTTTTTTGGTAGGACCTACACAACTGAGGGGGTGAGGCCATAGGGCAACTCCTCTCCCTCCTCTAGTCTCTTGGAGGAGCAAGAGCAAACTAGCAATGCCCAGCCTTTGCCAATGTCCACGTCCCCCCCAGCGCATACCCCTTGCCAGCGGCCTCCCCACCATGCCAAGGATGGCTGTGCCAGCATGAAGGGCACAGGTATTGGGGGGGGGGGGCCCG